GTTCCCCCTCGTCTCCCTGCCTGCGCCCAACCCTGGCCTCACCGTGTCCTGCTCACTACAACACTCCCCTGAGCCCCCGGGCTCTAGCCATAGCACGGTGAGTCCCTGTTCTCGCTGGTGCTGGGCATTTGGGTTTGCAGAAGTCCACCTGAGACCCTGCGGGCACCCCACCTGTGCAGTCCTCTGTGTGCACGTCGGTGGGTACCTGCAGTGTCCTGCGTTCTTAGACTTGGTGACAGAGACGACTGTATCACTTTAAAATGCAGAGCATGTTCAGATGACGAAAAGCACATCTCTGTGGACCTGGTTGACACAAGCCAGGAATTAGAAAGTGTCCCACGGGGCACCACACAGGTCCCGGCTGGATGGCACACGTGGCGGCTGGTTCCCTTCCCTCCTCTTGGCCGCGTGGCTGTGCCCACGGGATCCCAAGAGCCAACCTCCTCCTGAGCTGCTAAGCGTGCTTGGCTCCTGGTACTGCTTTAACAAAGACTGGGGTTGGACCAGCATTTGGCATAATGGCTACGTCGCTGGACTCCCATGTAGTCAATTGCGGGTCAAGTCCCAGACCTAGAGGCTTAAAAGTTACACCAGGCACATGTGCATGCTTGCCCAAAATCCTGAGAGGAGAGTGGAGGAGAAGGGATTGAGGTATGGCCAACCCCCTGGGGGTGATTTTTTGCTTTACCAGCAGAGGTTAAGACAGCTGTATCCCATGGTTGACTCTGCAGTTCGAGTCCCAGACCTGTCAGTTTGAAAGTCAAAGGTGGGTGTGTGTGTATGTGTGTGTGTGTGTGTGTGTGTGTGTCCCCAAGATCCTGAGAGGAGAATGGAGAAGGGATTGTGGCATAGCCATCCCCCTGGGGGGTGACTTCTCGGTTTCTGTCTCTCTGTCTTTCTGGCGAGCGCACGCGCCCTATAGCAAAAACCTCTCCAAAAAAATAAATAAATAAATAAACAAAGACTGGGCTTATGCTGTGGTAACTTCGCATGAGAAGGGGACAAAACCGCGTCCCCCCAGTTTGCACGCCCTGTCCTCAACAGCCAGTACGCTCAGATCTTACATCCACGATGTACTTGCTACTAGCTAAAGCGGAGTACTTTCGGAAGGAGAGCCCTGTTAACGTGTTGATTCCTCTTGGCAGACATCGAAGCTGATCTCTCAGCAGCTGACTAATAGGAGGCCAGCGGCCATGAAGTAACTGCTCTAGGCTGTTCCGGCGTGAGTCGATGCTTTGCAAGCCTGTGCTCTGTGCACGTGGCTGCCGAGCCGCTGGCAGTGGTCGGCCTGCTGCTCAGCAGCGAGCTGTCCTACTGCGCTCGCCAGAGGCCGCGGGTGCTGTGCACGTGGGGCCTCGCTGGGCCTCGCTGGAGGTCAGTGCTCACCGCCTTTCTCTGTGGTTAGACAGAACGGAAGTGCGTAGGTGAGGAGGTCTCCGTTAAAGACTTGGAAGAAGTAGTGTGTACGTGGTGAAGAAATCCAGGTACTAATAGGCGCCTTTAATAATCTGTTTTTTGTTTAACGTTTGGAGGCAAGGGAGATGCTTTGTGAATTCTTCTAGAAGTAATTCAGAGAGACCTAATTATTAACTTACTTTGTCCTTGGATAATGTGTGAGACTTACTGGAGGGAGGTGTAGGTTGGGGTAGTGTGAGTGATAGAGATGGCATATTCTCAGGATGTACCAAAGACACGTAAGAGGTGACTGTAGTGCTTTGAAAAGTGACCTTTTTTAGGTTATTTGTTTATTATTTAAATTTCCTCTAGGGCACATGTACTCACCATCGAGAGACAGAGGCAGAGGGAGGCAGTGAGAAGCAAGTCACCAGGTTCAGAACTCGAGGCGCGGTCAGCCGTGTTGGAGTCCACACCCTAGCCACCGCACCTCCTGCTGTCGTTCATGCGGAATGCACGCATGCATTTTTTTTAAACAATGTGTTCACTTAAATATAAGAAAACACTTTGTTTCTTTTTATGAAACCAAGATCTTGGTACTTTTCGTTCCCTCAGTGCCACCAGTTTTCAGATTAGTCAGTCTGTTACTGTATTTAAAATGGAAACGGGGCTTCAGAAAACCAGAGGGTAATTTTTTTTTTTTTTTGAGAAGTTTTTGCTATAGGGTGCGTGCGCTCGCCAGATAGACAGAGAGAGACAGAAAACGAGAAATCACCCCCCGGGGGATGGCCACGCCGCAGTCCCTTCTCCTCTCGGGATCTTGGGCACGCACGCACACACGCCTGGCATGAGTTTTAAGCCACTAGGTCCAGGACGCGAACCGTGGTCGACTACATAGGAGTCCAGCAACATAGCCATTAGGCTAACTGCTGGTCCCAAAAAAACAGAGGGTGATATTGATCGTGTGTGTCGACTGCGTAACCCACCACCCAGCTAAGGGGGGCACTGCATGCTCTGAGCAGTTCTCCCCAGTCCTCAGAGCAGCCCGTGCAGGAAGGAGTGACACTGTCCCCACCTACAGATGCAGGGAGTGAGTCCTCGTTAAATATCACTAGGCTGAGGTCAGATGTCTGTAAGTGCCTGTTTAATTCCGAAGGTACTCAAAAATTTATGTCTACTTCAAAAAGATGGTCTTAGAGTTAGTTAAAATTAAAAAGCTTCCTCTCGTTGAAGAAAGAGGGAAAGCCTCGAGAAAGTCTCGGAGGTCTTTATGTGGGTGATCTCTCGCAGTGACGGAGTACAAGTCATGCTCCTTCCAGTGCTCTTTGGCACAGGGTGGGATGGCAGAAGGGGTTAGAGCCGAACTTCAGAAGGAGTGTGAGAAAAGGCACTGTTTTGGGGGGCTCATAAAATATGCCCTTAGGTGCCACTGTTCTGATTTTTTTTTTTAAAGGTCACTGTAGGGCATGTGTGCTTACTGGGAGTGGGAAGGGGGCGTGGGGAGAACAGAAAGAGGAGACACACCTCACGGGGGTGGTAGGTGGCCATACTGCAGTCCCTTCTCCTCCATTCTCCTCTTAGGAGTTCAGGCACGCACACTCGTGCGGCCCATATGTTTCTCAAGCCACCAGGTCTGGGACTCAAACCACTACCCCCCTAACTGGCCCTCTGATATCTTCTAAAAGAACTTCAGGGCCAGCTGTGTGGCTCGATGGTTAACGCAGCTGGATCCCAGACCCACAGTTCAGGGCTCGGATCTAACAGCTTAAGAAACATGCCAGGCACGTGTGTGTGCGTGCCCACGTCTTAAAAAGGAGGAGGGACAGAGGAGAAGGGATTGTGATGTGACCATTCCCCGTAAGGGCGCTCTCTCCTCTCCTCCTCTTCTTTCTCTGACTAGCACATGTGTCCCTTAGGAAATTTTTTTTTTTTTGGAGGTTTTTGCTATAGAGCACATGTGCTTGCCAGAAAGACAGAGAGA